CAGCTTTTGTTTTGTGTGTTTAACACATACCTGTGGCTTGTCCACCTGTGGCAGGCTCTCTGCTGGGCACTAAGGGTGACATTTATACAAGATTTCCAGCCCCTGCCCTCAGAGAGGGGGCAGTAAACCAGGAAAGAGACACTTGGTGTCCCAGGTTGGCTCTCCATTTTGTTAAGTTCAAAAGTGGGATCAAACCAAATGAGACAGATTCATGCTGGACCAAGTTCATGAGATTGATTTGGAAACGAGAATGTCAATTTTGTCATTTTAAGTGAGGTCTGTATTTCTAGTAACCAGACCCTTTGAATCTCCAGTTCAGAACGCTGCCTTCCTTTAGTCAGGGGGCTGGCAAACTAGTAAGTAATTTGAATTATTAGTAAATTAGGAATTAGAAAATTCCTGGGTGAGCAATGGAATCTGCAAAAAGAGATGAATCACAGTGGTAGTTTGTGAAGTTAGTGATCATGTTTGGGTCACAGATTCCTTTAAGAATTTGAGGGAAAGTTTGATTCTCGAGCTCAAGAAAAATACACCTGTATAATTTCTGCAGACAGTGTCAGGTGAGTGACGAAGCTCATTGGATGACCGCAGGCCTTATTTCACTCAGGTTAAGCCACATCTTGATAAACAGTCCCTATTCCATTAAAGACTAATTTGACTGATTTGAATAGCACTTCACACACTCTGTTATATATGCGTATACCTGTACTGTTATTTACTTTTTTTCTTTAAATCAACTCTTGTATTCAGATAAAAATTTAAAAAACACCTGATTGCCATACATAAAAAAATAACATTTAACTGCTATAAATAGAAGGCATTATATACAAGATGAAAGTGAAACAATATTGCTAAATGTAAAATGATGAAATACAAATAAATGTAATCATTCTATCACGGTTTGTACCTGAAATAAGTGCGCCTCAGTGAGCAGATTAGGATTTTCTGGACTGGTTGGCAACAACAGGATATTCCAGTTTATATTGCTTCAAGATGAAGTCTGATTCACTGCCAATAAAATGAAAAAGGAATTTTAGCTTCGATGGTAACTAGCAACAACAATGCCACGATGCATAAATTTAGCAGCAAANAAAATGATGGTTATAGATGTTATTGAGGGCAGGGAGGGCTAGGACTGAACCTGCAGAGTTGCAGTATCTAAGGACAGACTGGGGGTGGCGGGGGGCGGGGAGCCTGAAAAGAGGAGGCTTGAGCTGAGGTGAATTGGGGTGTGGGGAAGCCAAGTGTACCACGCTGCTGATACGGGAGGTCTCGGGAGCTGAGATGTGGAAGAACAGGAGAAAGCCTTTGAGGAAAGAGGTGGCAGGACTCAATTCCTCAGCCCAACACCCACACTGCCAAGCATTGCTTCCTGCTTGTGATCAAGATTCCTGTAATTGGAGCTTTGGAACTCAAGGGACGATACTAATAAAAAGAGGGCTTTTTCAGAAGAGAAGTCAGGTTTGCAAGGAGGACTGACAAGAACATTTCTTCTTGTAGACTTGTTTTTACAGAAGGCTTCCTTGGTATTCTGAGTCTGTGCTAGATTTTCTTATGTATGTGACCTCATGTAATGCTCACAGCAACCCCATGGAGGAGATACTGTTGTTATGCCGTTTTACAGACGAGACACATTGAGGGGAAGTACTAGCCCAGTAGTGGGGAAAGCTGGGATTCAAGCCCAAATCCTTCTGAATCTGGAATCTCCCCACTTAACACACTGAGACACCGGTGCACTTCAGCCCATCACTTTCCCCCTTGCTTTGATTCTTTGGGAGGAAAGCATGGATCTAGGTGACGGTCTCCCAACCTTGGCATTATTAACATTTAGAATTGGGCGATTCTTTGTTGTGGGGGACTGTCCTGTGCAGTGGAGGGTTGTTGAGCAGCATCCCTGACTTCTCGCCACTAGATGCCAGTAAGAGCCCCATCCCCTGATCCCATGACAATCAAAAAGGACTGGGTGAAGGGGAGGCAGGGTGTGATGTCATGCAGAACACAGCCCGAGCGGTTCCTGGGACTGGCTGTTTGGCCACTGAGGTGTTGGAAGTAAGGAAAGCCCTCTGCTCCTACTGGGGCTGCACCCAGCTGAAGGTGCCTCCAGCCCATAGGGTAGCATGAAGATTTAACAGCTTTTCTGCACCCCTCTTACAGGTCACAGTCAAAGTTCCTCAGAAGAACTCGTAAAGAACCGCACCAGCTTCCTGACTTATCCAGTGAGACAAAGCTCAACAATACCAACAAAACCAAGAAGAATGACCCTTGCGCTCTAAAAGTCTCAAAAGAGAAATTCTCCCCCAAAAATCTCTTGGATCAAGAAGGTCCCAGAATTTGACTTCCTGTTGGGTGGGGGTGGGGCGAAGAGGATATGGGAAGTTTGAAACTGCAATATTACTACCAGCGTTCAGGGTGATTTTTCAAAAGCAGATTCAAATGTCTCATCCCATCCATGATGGCTATGCATCTTGCTTTGTATTCTGGACTAAAACTCATTAAAAACAGTGCTGTTCTTTACTTTTTGGGTAATTATTCCCCCCCACCCCAGCTTACTGGTTATTTACTTTTTTTTTCCTTTTTATTTATTAGTTTGAGGTGTACAAAACAATGCAATAGTTATCCTTTTCACCCCTCACAAAATGACAACCCTCCTCCCTCACCCACTGCCCTCCCACCCCCGATATCATACGTATCTATTACAATTCCATTGACTCCATTCCCACACTCTACTCCATATCTTATGACTATATATGTATTAAATTATAGTTGACATATAATATTATTCAATGGCAGCTTCAGATGTACAGTGCAGTGGTCAGGCCTCTACACCATCTATGAAGTGGTCTCCCCAACAAGACATGAGTCCATCTAGCCCCCTAAAAAATATTTACAACATTATTGATTATATTCCCCAAACTGTCTTCTATCCCTGAGGCATTATTATGGTTACCAATTTATGTTGTCTCGTCCCTTCCCCTTCTCTCTCATCCCCATCCCGTCCCAACTAGCAACCATCAGTTTTTCCTCTGTGTCTCTGAGACTATTTCTGTTTACATTGCTCATTTAT